AAGAGTCAGTTTTCCACCTGGTAGATTGCCTAGACTTCAAGGGATGTATCCACAGCCAAGAACCCTTGGAAGACAAAGATTAGACTTGACAGGCCTTAAAATAGACAAATCATAACAGCGAACATGAAGTCAGGCTAGGGGATAGTAAGTGGGAGCAGCCAGTGCTTTTCACCACTGAGACATCTCTCCAGACCTCCATTTTCCTTTATTTTTAAATATTTTATTTATTATTTTTACTTTTATGTGTACATATGTACTACTTGCATATATGTAAGTGTACCTGTGTCATGTAATGCTTATGGAGAACAGGGCATCAGATCCTGTGGAACTGGCGTTTCAGACAGTTGTTAGCTGATATGTGGGTGCTGGGATTCAAATCTGGGTCATCTGCAAGAGTGGTCAGTGCTTTTAACTACTGAACCATCTCTCCAGCCAAGACTTTAATTTTTAAATAAGTGATCTAAAATTAAGTCAATTAAAAATTCATATGTGAAACTGCTCACAGGACCTACACAAGATTAAGCCAGGCAAAATCCAAGCCTGGAGGGAGGAGGTGGTTGGGAAGTTGTTGGGGAACCCTGCTGTTAAGGTCAGCTCCTTTCTAGCAGGGTCTTCTTGCCTGACTTACCTGGAAAGTGCCTCCAAGCACAGATGCCTGACCTTATTCAGAACATGATCTTTGGCATAGTTACCTGCAATAAAACTATCCCCAGGTTTTTTCTATATGATAATTAGGCATTTCCCTATAGCAGATGATAGGATCCCCTGCCACATGTAAATAAAGCATACTATGAGCACCTGTCAGCTGAAGCTTTGGCTGCTGCCTCCACACTATATTTTCCCTGACCCCCACTGAATAAATGGAGCTGTATCACTGAATCTGCCTCCCTGGAAAGTCTTTTTCCATAGTGCTCACTGGGTGTCCTGACCCCATTCGTCACTTCTGCTCCCTTTGCCCTCGTGGACCAGTGGCCAATGACCCACGAGGGGAGGGAGAGACCCCACAGGAAGTCCCACCCCTAGCTGAAGCACTCGTGACAACTGATGTCTTCTGTGAAAAGGAGAATTGGTTTTCTTCAGGTATACAACCTCTGGGAGGTTACTTACACTCTAGTTGATGACTCCACATCTATGAATACATTGGTAGCACTAAGTGAACTCCTGTGTGTGTGTGTGTGTGTGTGTGTGTGTGTGCTTAAAGGTAAAACACATGAACTTGGGAAGAGAATAATACTGTTGAGGAAGGAAAGGAATTGCAGGCAAGGAAATGGAGATTGGATTTCACAAAAGACTGTATTCATGTGTGAGACTCTCAATCAATTAAAAAAGATATTGTTGGGGCTGGAGAGATGGCTCAGCTGTTAAGAGCACTTGCTGCTCATGAAGAGGACCTGAGTTCAGTTCCTTGCATCCTCATTGGGTGGCTCACAATCACCTGTAACTCCAGCTCCAGGGAATCAGATGCTCTCTGCTGGCCTCCATGGGCACATGCACAAATGCACCTGCACAAATACAGTGCACATCCATGTACTCAGGCCCACACACATCCACAAAAATGCATTCATTGGTGAAAAAAGGCTAAATTCGCTGGGAACTTTGTTCCCCCGCAAAATAACAATTTTCCCAGAAAATCTAACAATGCTGTATCAATATAGAAGTACTTCTTCCCTCAGTAAAGCAAAGAGAAAGGTTGGTTTTATAAAGGTTTGCCTAAGCGGACATTCAGATATTGCTTCAGAGGCAGTTTTGAAACTGAATATAGGAGGACTGAGACCCTGCTCAGTTGGTAGATCTTGCCTAGCATGCAGGAAACCTGGTGTTTGAGCCCCAGCACTGCATAAACTGAGAATGGTGTCACACTCCTCTAAACTCAGCAGTCTGCAAGTGTAGGTGGGAAGATCAGAAAATTAAGATAATTCTTGGCTGCATAGGAAGTTTGGATCCAGCCTGGACCACAACTGGTCAAAGTTCAGAGATTTAGAGGCTGCAGAGTGCTTATCCCTGAATAGAAAAACTATAACAAACCTCTGCTTTTCAAGGCTCAGGGATCACTGCAGAAGACAGGGTGGAAAATTCTAAGAGCCAGAGATAGTGAATGACCACAAGAGTTTTCCAGACAGCTGGAAAGTTACTTATATGAACTTATAGCAATAGTGACAACATGCACAAGGCCCATGTAAGCTTGAGCTGACTAGTCTCCAGTGGATGAATTTGCACTAAGGGACATCTGGGTACAAATGTTTGACCAGATAGGACTTAACATATATGACAGAATACATGAAATCTGATGGGAGGGACAGCAACTGTGGAAAGTGGACAGGGAAGGAGTCTAAATTAAATTAAGATCTATTATATGAAATGCACTAAAATGCAATAAAATATTTTTTTAAAGTCCAAGGAAGGAAATATTTGGTGAATTTAAGCCAATGAATAATCAAGAGGAAACAGAAGCTACTTAGAGACACAAACATTATTGTACTGAAAATGGTACAGCCAGGTGTAGATATGCATAAGTCTAAGAGGAATGTGAATTTTTCACGCCAATATTTATTTAATTAATATATACAAGAATCTCCAAAAAGCCTAGTTCCTAGTCAGCAAAACAGAAGACAGAAAAACAGACCAAAGGATAGAGAAGTGAGGTTCAAATAGGAGCTGACCTTGAGACATTAACATTACCAAGATGGTAGAAAGACATGGCCAGCAGAGAAAAATGCAAGCAAGTCTTGTGCCACAGACTTCTATGGAAATGAGATAGGGTCTTGTGATGCACACATAGAGCATCAGAGTCATGAGGTTTTACAGATGCCTAAATGCATGAATAGCCTGGGAAGAGCAATTCCAACTCAAAGGGGATCACCACCACCACCTGACATCTCAATAATAATGCTGATTATTCATTTAATATTATAATATTTAAAAATAGTAGTGAGCATTCATGAAAGAATGATGGAAAGGTCTATGTGGAGTGGTGGAGCCCCACACAACCATGCCACCTGGATCAGGCTCAATGCACATTCAGGAGTTACATACAGATAGATGGACTTGATGTACGTCGTTCACCAAGCCTCATTACCCTGCAGAGATGTACAGACGGATAATGGACAAATAGTGACATTCATGCCAGGAGAGACTTTCCACTTTCTAACAACTTGCCTTTGCACAGGAAGCATGTGATTGTGGGGGGCATGCCAGTTTCTCCTGGGAGGCACATATCAGGGCTCATGGGGGACACTTCAAGGAACTTGCATATAGTGACATGAAATCCCCAAATAACCTTTTGTACCAAGGAGAAGGAACATCTACAGGTTGCATACTTTTCCTCTTCTTGCCTACCTCCTGACACCTCAAACACAAGCCTGCTTTGTAGAGGCTGAAATACGGTTTTTGATGGTGCAAAGTTGGAGTCTGTTCTCAAAGGAGGAAAGCCATAAACATTTATCTGAGACTAATCCCAGGGCTCCAACTATCTGCAAACACACAACCAAGCCCAACTGAAGTCTTTTGCAATTTTTCCTGGAATCGCTCCACAGAATGACTGAGCTGAGGTATTGGTTGTTGAATATTCCCCTTAGTTAGCATTTCTGCAATTAAGCCATGATTTAATCATTCTGCATTCTCCTTTACTTGATGATGCTTTGGGCCACAAGCCCCTGGCTAATGTAATACCGTTTATTCTGGTTAGGCCCTATTCTTGAAGCATTAAGGAAATGAATGTTTCATGTTTCCTCAAGTAGATTCTATTGCATACTTATGATAGCTATTGTGCCATGTGATTTATATGTTATTTATTAATCTTTATAACATGTCTGTTGTTGTGCTCTACATTGGCCTGAATCCAGTCTGGGGGGGGGGCAGGGGATGAGTAGGCGTGGAATCAATGACACAAACTCTGGGAGATGCTGCTCAGTAGCAGGCTTCCAGCAAGCTCATTTATTGCATACAAAGGGCTTCCCTTTATACCCGCGAACGGCCCCTATTGGCCCCAAGGCTGAGCTGTGTATTGTCCAGTGATCTGACAGTTGCATCATCTGCCTCTAGCCCGAGCAGCAGATATCAGTTTAGCAATTTGGGGAAGTTGGCTGAGTAATGATAGCATGCCTGCTCAGAGGTTACCAGATCCGGTATTCTGGCAGATATTCTGGCCCCCCTCCTATATTTTCACCCTTTTGTTTTTAAAGACAGCCCAGCAGGAGCTACTTTGCTCCAGGGATAGATGGGGGCTGGTGTTTCGGTGTGAGGCAGAGGGGGTGAGCTGGGGAGGGGCTTTTTTTGGAGGGGTTATGTGGGGGCCGTCTCAAGGTTGCGTGATGACACTGCAGCCTGGGGGGCTAAAATCGAAAGCATGGGCATCTTTTGTTCCTGGCAATGTTCACTGAAGGATTTTAGGATATCCTTTGGAGAGCTGAATTGAATACAACCGAGGATACCCAGTAAAATCAGAACAAAAGGGGCAGTGGGCACTGTACCTTCCTGTATTTCCCATTTATGGGCTAGAAAGAACACCCACATCCAGAGATCTGGGTCCCAGACGTTTTCAGAGGAAATCCATGGGGTGAGAGAAGATGTCTCCACCCAGAAGGTTTCTAAATCATAAAGCTTAATCTTGAGGCCACGGGATCCCAGGAGGGATTTTAGGGCCTGAAGCTGGGGTTCCTTACAGTGTGAGGGAAAGTTACCCATTTTGGAGGAGTTGGGGCTAGGGTGGTTGAAGGGGAACTCGCCACAAAAATAGGAGGCTACAAGGACAACAACGATTGCGAGGACAAGCAAAGTAAGATGGTTAGTCACTCAGACTGGAAGCGAGCTGATATAGGGGAGTGTTTTGGACCAAGATGTCTTGCGCTTAGTGGAGAACTTCCGTGGTTTGTTAGGCCACAGCCGTATGCCCACACAGTGTCTCTGATTGCCGGGTGTCTGTCGGGAATACACCAGTTGGTTCCGTCTCCTTGGTGGTCATCCCTTATGTGGAGGCATGGGGCTAACAGAATACAGGGAGTATGTCGAAAAGACCCGTCTCATGGCTTACCACCTGTGGAACGTAAGACAAAGGAGCCTACTCACTGAAAGAACAGCCGATTGGTCATCCCTTATGTGGAGGCATGGGGCTAACAGAATACAGGGAGTATGTAGAAAAGACCCGTCTCATGGCTTACCACCTGTGGAATGTAAGACAAAGGAGCCTACTCACTGAAAGAACAGCCGAAGGGGGCCACTTGTGGCCAACGTGAGAAGCGAGTGGGTCCAGAATCCACATTGGGCGCCAGTTGTTGCTGTGTTCTACAGTGGCCCAACTCCAGTCTCTGGGGGCAGGGGATGAGTAGGTGCAAAATCAAGGACACAGACTCCGGGAGATGCTGCTCAGTAGGGGGCTGCCAGCAAGCTCATTTATTGCGTACAAAGGTCTTCCCTTTATACCCTCCGAACTTCCCCTGTTGGCCCTAAGGCTGTGTTGTGTATTTTCCATTGGTGTGCCTATTGTGTCATCTGTCTCTAGCCCCAGCGGCAGATACCAGGTTAGCAGTTTGGGGAAGTTGGCTGTGTAATGATAAAGCAACTGCGCACATGTTACCAGATCCAGTACTCTAGCAGATACTCATGGCCCCCCTCCTACACATGTCTTTAAAATATTATTGCTATCCACGCAGAAACTGTAAATCAAATGGACAAAATAATAAATATTACATTTTTCTGAGATAGACAAGTGATTTACAGTCACACAGTGGGTCCTTACGGAATATGTGAAGAGAAACTGCATTTCCCACATTTGCTGGATTTGATAACAGAAATCAATATCTAAACTTGCCCCATTGTTTCTATAGGGCATTTAAGTTGTTATAAGCCTAGAGCCAGTAATAACATATAAAACCTAAACAGCACTTGAAATATAGAGAGTGTTAACAATCTCTACCTAAATTCAGCTGTAGCTTTGCTAGAAAAACAATTCAGAGGAGTGTTTTCAAATTACAGGCATGATGATGAATATCAATTGCCAACTCAATGAATTTAAATTCACCTAGGAAAGCAACCCTTGAGTGTGTCTGTGAAGATGTTTTCCACTGAGATAAGAAGGCGAGTGACACCATTCCATGGAGTCCTAGACCAAATAAAAAGGAGAAAGTGAGTGGTTAATTGACTCTTAGTTCTCTCTGCTCTCTGACTCAGCAGCAATGTGACCTGCTGCCTCATGCTCATTTGCTTCTCTATTACTGTGATAAAACACTCTGACTAAATGAAACTACTTGGTGTGGAAAGGTTTTACTGCACACTAAGGTTAACAATGGAAAAGGTTTTGGAAGCCATTACTGTCTATTCTCTGCCAGACAGGAACATCAAAAGTCTCTTATGATGAATAAAAGCAGGTCATGGTCACCAGACAACTGTCAGCCTTTGCAATCACTCAGTGTGTGCCATGTGTTACCTAATTATTGTATTGATGTTATGTCACAGAATCCTTGTCACCATACCTCTGAGGGAGACATAATCTAGTCATTCTACAAATTGAGACTGAGCATGCTGTGTGCTAGTCTGTTTATCTGGGGATAAAGAGTCAAAAGAAACAAAATCTCCACCCTCATAGAACTTGAAATGCACTGTAGGAAACTGATAATAAACATGCACATCCATATATCTGAATATTAGATAGATAGATAGATAGATAGATAGATAGATAGATAGATAGATAGATAGATAGCAAGGTAGAAATAATGTGGGAAATAGGAACTCATGGATGGATAAATAGATGGAGAATGGGAATGTTATTCTAAAGAGAGTGATGAAGGCCTTCATATTAAACCACAGCACATGATTCCTTGGAATCTAAAGAAAGGAACAGATGGATGAGTCCTGCCTTATTACTTTGAGGACCAGTGGTTTCAGACAACAGAACTGAAATGTAAATGTCCTTAAAGAAGATCGTGTTTGGGATGTTTGGGAAATGACTGGGAGCTGGTAGATTTGAGTGAGGTGTGGCATGATAGTCACCTCTTGCCTGTGATAGTTTGTATTGGCAGTCCTCAATGACCAATACAAACAATTTTAGGAAGATTTGTACATCTCACCTACAACTATTTTACTCTTAAGCTCAACAAATACTCATAAAGTTTGAAACTACTATTCCCACTTGTACTGTGTGTTTATGAAACAGATAATAAACAAGCTCTGCCAAGATATAGTCCTTTAGGCTACAGTCCCCATGAATGACTGGCAAAGTCCTGGTTTGAATGTTAGTCTGTCTACCTGATATTGATATTCTTATTGGGTTCTAGAACCAGTTTTGCAAATACACAAAGAGCAAACTATGTCCTTTGTATTTCTGTATTCCACATAAAAACTGAGTCCTTAGGCTGAAGAGATGGCTCAGTGGTTAAGAGCACTAGCTGCTCTTAAGGGACCAGGATTTGATTCCCAGCACCAACATGGTGGCTAACAACCAGCTATAACTGTAGTTTCAGGGGAACCTGATGCCCTCTTCAGACCTCCTCAGGCATTTCACTACATGGGTACACTGACATACATGCAGGCGGTAGAGTCACACATAAAATAATAAATGAATGAATGAATGAATGAATGAATAAATAAATAAACTGAGTCCTTAGTGATCCCACTTATATCAGAATCACCTGTAATTTTCATTGACCTATAAATAGTAATATTCATATAGAAGTTCTGGACTCCAAGTCCAGCTTTGCTATTTTGTATTTTGCTATGTTGACCCAGGGTAAAAATTTTCTTTTAAACTCACCTCAATGCACCTAATATTATTGGTAAGATAACTTTGGTTCTGACAAAATGCAAAAAGCTTTATCTTTAGCACAAATGACAAGAGCCTTAGGACATAATAGCTATGCAGTTGAGTGAGAAAGGAATAATGCATTCTCTCTGATGCCATTCACTGTCCTTCCTGAGGGTAAGGTGTTCTGGTCTTTGATCACAGTGACCTTTAATGTGTAGCACAAGATGGATCTCTAGATCATCCCTCACTATGGACACATTCATCATACTTTCCGTAACTTCATATCTTTCCACTGTCTTTGGGAGACATTATGACTGCAATTAAGAGAATTAGAAGAGCATTTTCCAATACAGCAGGAAACAAGCAGATAAACCAATTCAAATATGTGCTGACTCTCTCAGTGTAAAGCAAGAAGCCAGCCACCTGACACGAATATTACCTTACTATTAAGAGTTATAGAAATGACCTTTAATGTGTAGCACAAGATGGATCTCTAGATCATCCCTCACTATGGACACATTCATCATACTTTCCGTAACTTCATATCTTTCCACTGTCTTTGGGAGACATTATGACTGCAATTAAGAGAATTAGAAGAGCATTTTCCAATACAGAAGGAAACAAGCAGATAAACCAATTCAAATATGTGTTGACTCTCTCAGTGTAAAGCAAGAAGCCAGCCACCTGCCACGAATATTACCTTACTATTAAGAGTTATAGAAATGGACCTTTCATTGTCCACCTCCTCATGAGACACTTAATCTGAACAAATGAATTGAACACATGACCTTCAGTTTCTGAGTGGAACCAAGCACACAGTCTCTCATGACGACATACCCCGTGAGGGTATGCATGTGAAGCTCTAATGTCCTCTGTGTTCCTAGCTTGTGAACGTTCAGGATCTTCATCACACATGGACACACTGGAGGCATTTTAGGACCATTAGTTCAGCAAGTTTGTTAAAAAAAAAAAAAGCCTATGTGTTAGGAGCCCATCCAAAGACCTTTATCAGTATTTTCCCACTTGTTTGCATATGAGGCATAATTAAAACAATATTTGAAAAAATTACTGCATGGATGGTTGGTGGCTGATGACTGCTAATTCCGCCCTTCTCAGTATGGTCATATGCCTAGTCTCTAACACCATCTGTTCTTTCTCTTTGACTATCCTGAGATCCACCTAGCCATCTGTGATAGAAACACCTCTGCACTGATGTTTACTTTTCCAAATCTCTTCTCCCTTGTTTACCTATCTCCCCCTCTTTTCCTCTCTACCTTCCTCTCTCTCTCTCTCTTCTCTTCCCCTCCCCCAAAGGACTTGTTCTTGGTTAAACATTGTCTGAAGGAAATAATTCCATTCTTGGAATCAGAGGTGATTACAATCTATAATGTACCTGTTTGGTACTGTAAAGATTAAAGCAAAGCATCTCTCTAGTCTTTATCTATAAAACCAGGAGACACAAAGTTTAAAGATAATAAAGTGGGAAATTTTCCAGTTTGGCTGTTATTTTGGCAAAGCCAAAATTTCCCCTATGGACAAATAATACTTTCAGGATGATGCTATTGAACATTCTAAGGTGGCTGTTTCTAATTTTTTTAAACCACTGTATGAGATTTGGACAAGAAGGAATTCACTGTGGAGAAAATATGTGTGAGCAGCCAGAGGAGGAGGAGCAGAAAGAGAGAGTATAAAGAGAGGCAAGGTTTAAAGTTCCAGCATGTGCTATCTGCAGGCAGCCAGAGGTGATGAGCCATCTAGTGGGCTGGATGTTGCTAGCTGTCTGTATGTATGGGATGAATGCAGGTGAGGTGGGAACAAGGAATGAGGGTTGGTAAGGGAGAGTCCAAGAAAGTATGAGTTGAGACAGGCTAGAGATCAACTGTTCATGATATCTTTTCAGTACAACAAAGAGAGAGCAGAGAGCTATGGATTCATTTTCTCAGCTTCTTGGTTGAATGCGCAGAGAACAGATGATTCTACCTGTGACAGAGCCTCATTCTCAACATCCACATAGGTTTAAAAAATATTCATGGAAGGGGATTAATAGATTGTTTTAGAAACATCTTCTAGGCCTGTTTTTAAGAAAGAAAGGTAAAAAATAGTGTATGGACTCAGCTGCCCTTTGCATTCAAAGTAGGTTACTAATACCTGGTCACTTGACTCCTCATGGTCTCAGTGTCAGACACATTGCATAGGTTGCCTGCAATATGGGCATTGGCAGGGTGACTGGAGTCAGGTTTAGTGGGGAGGAATTTTATGTGTACCCTTTTGTAATTCACTTGAATTTTGAACTATACTAATGGTTTCCTCAGAAAACAACTTTGCTATAGAACAAGTGATCTTAACCCACACTGCTGTTATGAGGATTAATCCAGAAAGGAAAGGGAGACAACAGCAGTTAGTGCCCTGCAGCTGTTTCTACAAGATGCCCAGCCCTAGAGGAAGTTGGGGTTTTTCATGCATGACAGCTTGAACCACACAGATCATGGGGTACACTGTGTCTAAGTAGAGAGTTCGAAAGGATTTTTTGCTTGTATGTTTTAAAATAGAGTCTCATGTACCCCAGGCAGATGTCAATTTCACTCTGTAGCTAAGAATGACTTTGAATTCCTAATCCTTCTGCCACCACTTTCTTAGTGCTGAGATTATAGAAAATTTCCAACATGCCCCGTCAATTTATGGAGTGCTGCATAACCCGGGGCCTCGTGCATTCTGTGTAAGCACTATACCAACTGAGCCACATCCTCATCCCTTAAAAGGCTTTGGGCTCTGGTTTGTTGGTGACTGAGGTCTGAAGCAAGCAAGAATCACATAGCCAGAAAGGGAGCCAATTCTATGACTGCATATCTCAATAAATCTAATGTACTGGGAAGCAAAGTGGCAGAAGACAAAGTTTACTTAGTCAACAAGTGACAGTCACTTGCCTTGACTGAGAGTCATGTGAGTTGCTGGCCAGGGAGATGGCTCCTCAGGTAAAGGTGCTTGCTGCTAAGCCTGATGACATGAGTTTGATCCCCAGGACTCATGTGGTAGAAGGAGAGAGCTGACTCCACCAAACTGAACTCTGAACAGCACATAAGTGCTGTGAGTTCTGCACTTGTACACTCGATGGTGTGCAAGTGGGTGTGCACACACTCACATACATGCACACAAAAAATTCAAAAATTACAAGAGAAACAAGAACCCCCCGACACACACACACAAAATCTGCCCCCTAATGCTATGCCAATCACATGTTCTTGGAGCTGCCCGTTGAATCTTGGCTTGGTACCATCTTTGTTACATATCCTTCAGGCTGATGGTAATTCCAGTTTGTTTCTGAATCCTCCTTATATTGCCTTCTAAAAACTTTCCACTCCTTCCCAGGCTCCTTAAACATGGCTGTGGCTTATTACAGCACTAGTATTGCTATTGCAATTTTCTGCTATTATTAAATAAATGTCTTTACTCTCTCAAGAACACTATTTAGACACAAGTGAATGGGTTAAACCCAGATGGCATTGAATATGGTGGACTGACTCTGACTTACTTCCAGAAAGACAATCAGCCTAGTGACAGCTTACATTGAATAAATGGATAGATACACAATTCCAGCTCCATGTAGTACTGCAGAACTCTCTGATGTATTTCACAGTTATTACTCTGGGCGTGTGATGTTTTAGGGGATGGTTTAAAATTTACTCATTCTTTTCCTCTTTCAGAGTTGATCTCTCATGTATATCCTCCAGTGCAAGGTAAGTCAACCATCTGTATTTGTACTATCTCAAATGCCTGCCTCAACTCCCTAAAAATGTGTTAGATTTGTAATGAAGAGATGGCTCAGCTGTTAAGAGTGCTGGCTGCTCTTATGGCCACATGGTGTCTAAGAACTGTTAACTGAAGTTCCAGGAGAACCAACACCTTCTGTCCTCCACAGGCACTGCACACAAGTAGCACACTTGCATACATGCAGGCTGTTGCCCGAGTTCTCGCGAGGTCTCTT